TGGCTGTCCATTTCTGTTGCAGATTTTTTTCTAAGGTTACTGAAAGAGCCACATTCATCTAGAACATCTGCTTAGAGGGCTGGGCCTTTTTTCCATATGGTCTTTCATCCTCAGATTTGTTAAAGGTGGGCTTCTTTATATAGTGGAGGCACATTCCAAGAAATCAAGTCCTAATAGCAGTTATCAGACCTCTGCTTGCATCATATTTGCATATGTCCCATTGGCCCAAGCACAGACTAGCCCAGAATCAATGTGGAAGGGGGGGACTACATAGATACCAGGAGGCATGATTCACTGGGCATAACAACTTACCACAATCGATTTGACCTTGGGCAAATCACTTTTCTCATCTGTAAAAAGGGTTTTTAATATTCATTCCCAGAATTGTTATATAGATAAAATGAAGTAGTATATAGTTCCTAATACATGTGATAGGAATTATTTGGAGTATTTTTTTTTTAAATACCAAAAGAAGTTTAGAGTAGCAAATAATTATCATCCACCATTATTCATTTCCTACTATATGTAAGACACTATCTAAAGTAATGGGGTTAGAGTAGACACAGTCGTTATCCTTAGAGAAATTATCTTTTGAAGGTAAATTAATTAAGCCCAAATTAGATTTACAGACTTTATAATGTCAGAAAGTTTCATAAACTCAACTATGGCTTGACATTGGATATGCTTATGTTAAATTTTATATTAAAATCTGTTAACTGACATTTGATTTATGTCTTCTAAAAGACATGGCTTTCAGAACATCATTTTGAGAAGTTCTGTCTTTTTACAAGCTCTAAAAATGATTTGGTCAAGTAGTATCTGGATGCAGTCAAGTTACAGAGAGCTGTGCTCAGCAAAATTTTGATCAATTAAGCAAATCATTAAAATTCATTTGAAAACGCTGGAAAATTCTGTTTTTAAGCAATTGTTAAAATGTAAACTATTGAAACTGAAGGAAAGATAGCAATGTTTATTCTGGAGCTTTCTAAAAATCTAAATTTGCAAATACCATATTCATCAGCTGTTCAGTAAAGTACTGACAAAAATAATCTTATGAATCAAAACTAAATTATTTAGTATTGAGAAAAAAGAACATACTGATATCTTACCCCACCCCGTTTTCTTTGTTTCAGCTGTTAAATGATTTATATTTATGATTTCCAAGAAAAGGTTTGTTGGTTCACTTTTTTTTTTTAACACTTCATAGCCTATTGTTTAAAATGAATACTATAATGGTGCTGAGACAACTAGATACCCACATGCGAAAAGAATGAAACTGCACCCCTACCTTTTACCATATATAAATACCTAAACACCAAACAGCTAAAGATGTAAAACTCTTACAAGAAACCATAGGGGTAAATCTTTGTGACCTTGGATTAATTTCTTAGATATGATACCAAAAGCCCAAGCAACAAAAGAAAAAATGATAAATTGGACTTCATCAAAATTAAACACTTTCTACTAAAGATATTTGGGTCTGTTAGTAAACATGTTCTTTGCTACATTAAAAAAAATCATACTATGAGAAAGTATATGTCTCTAGAAATTATGAAATGGTGTATTCATGAATTTACTAATCTCTACAAGATACTAATATATGACAGATCACAATTGCTTACTTCCTGATTTTCACTGGAAATTAAGGTTGCTAAAAGTTAAAAATTATAATTCATATAAATGAATAAGACTACTAAAAATAGTAAGGATAGGAAACCCTCTGCAAACAAAATATGCTAGGAAAATGAGATGTATTTGTAGTAAGAGAAGGCTTGAGATATATGAAAAATATGTTTTTGTTAAAGTGATTTTGTCCTAGTGTTAAGAGTATTTAAGGGTTGTTTCAAAATAAAAAAGTGGAAAAGAAAGAACAAAAAAATAAATGGGAATAGGAAGTCAGAGGGAGTGAGAAAGAGACAGGGAGAGAAAGAAATCTTGTATGGTCAGGCTGGTTCTAATTAGACAGACTTATTCTAAGCATTTTAATGAAGCTTTAATATCAATAGTGTGCTTATATTAAACTTAATTTGATTTTCTTTCTGAGTTAAAAGGAGAAATTTTCTTGGATTATTGTAAAATATTTTTCTTCCTTGTTAAGTAATTTACCTAAAAGGCAAAGATTCCATGTTCAGCAAAATAGTTTTCATGCTTCATGTTGTCTTTATCATAAGGTTGTTGTATACTTAGAAAAACTGAGTCTTCTCAATATTAAAAGAGCTAAGATATTTTTATATAGCTATGTAACTTTCTGTATTTGCCTTTAAAAGCTTTTATTGTCACTTTGGTTAACTATGTAACTATTGTTTCACTGTAATCTGTGATCCTAGTTAATCAAGTGTTCAAACCTTTGACATTTTTTACAAACTTCCCAAAATCAAATTCTAAATTAAGTCTTTTGACCTATAACCAACTTTGAGACTTGCCAGAGGGCGTCTGGAAAATCTTAAGAGAATTCATTCTCTCACCTTATAAAAAGAGAGATTAAAGTATTTAGGTTTATTTAATGTTAAGTTAAATGGAAAGCATTGTCAAATAAAAAATGATACCAAATCTTCTTTAGGTTAAAAAAAATTAAACACTTTCTTGCTTCAAAAGGCACCATCAAGAAAGCAAAAGGCAATCCACATGATGGGAAAAAATATTTATGAATCATGTATCTGATAAAAGGCTTTTATCTAGAGTATATAAAGAATCTTATAATAAAAAGACAGAGGCAAAATAAAAAGACAGCTCAACTTAAAAATAGGCAAAGGATCTGAATAGACATTTCCCTGAAGAAGGTACATAAATGATCAATAGACACAGGAAAAGATGTTTGACATCATTAGCCATCAAGGAAATATGAATCAAAACCACAGTGACATACCACATCACACCCACTAGGATGACTAGAATCAAAAAGGCAGATATTAACGAATGTTTGCCAAGATGTGGAGAAATGGTAACCCTCATATGCTGCTGAGGCAATTGTCGAATGAGGCAGCTGCTTGGAAAACACTCTGGCATTTCCCCAAATGGTTGAACATAGCCTTACTTTATGACCAGGCAATTCCAGTCATAGAAATATACCCAAGAGAAATGAAAACGTATGTCCACATAAAACCTTTTTCACTAATGTTTATAGCAACATTACTCAACCTGCAAATTTGAAACAAGCCAAATGTCTATCAGCTGAAAAATGGATAAAATATAGTATATCCAAGCAATAGAATGTTATTTGGTCATAAAAAGGAGTGAAATATTGATAAATGTTATAATATAGATGAACCTTGAAAACATTATGCTAAGTGAAAGAAGCTAGTAACAAAAGACCATGTATGTATGGTCCTATTTATATTAAATACTCAGAATACACAAATCTATATATACAGAGAGAAAGTAAATTAGTGGTTGCCAGAGCTACAGGGTATAAGGGATGGGGAACAATAGCTAAAGGATATGGGATTTCTTTTGGAGGTGATTAAAATGTTCTAAAATTGACTGTAGTAATTGTTTCACATATCTGTGAATATAATACATCATTGAATTATACATTTTAAATGGATTAATTTTATGGTATGCGAACTTTATCTCAACAAAAATGTTATCAAAAAAAATATTAGAAGAATAAGTAGGTTTTTGCAAGGCTATTTACCAAATGGTGTGCCTCTAAGCCAAAAAATCTAATTACTTCATATAAAGATCTATATGATATCCAAAACCACTAAATTGTATACTTTAAAATGATTAAGGTGGTAAATTTTGTGTAATGTGAATTGTATCTCAATTCTAAAACTTTTATATGCTTACAAATGTTAGGAATACAAAATAAATTTGACAATGATTGCTCAGTGAAACAAGTCAGAGCTCAGATATTTTTTGATACCAACTTCCCCAGAAGACCCTCCAGAGTGTGATCAAAATTCTGTACCAGAAGGGCTCAGTGAGCACATTTGTTGGTCCAAGAGTCCCACAGAAGGCCATCCAGGAAGGGTCCTCAAAATTATCTCAGTGGGACCTTCAAATGTTGAAGTAAGAGACTAATATGTAGAACAATTAAGCTAATTTACTACTTGGTAAGCAAAAGAGAATGATACTTATAAAAAACAGACTCTGAACAAAACAGAACTGATATATAGGGTTTTGAGAAGTGTGGATTTCAAGGATTGGCAGATTTTCAAAATTGGCAGTGTTTTACAAATAGGCTCACTTTCAGCTCTAGTGCATAGAGATTCGTGGACTGTGGGGAGCAGGACTGGAGGCTTGACTGTGGATGATTTCTGGAGCAAGGCTATGGTGGGTTGGTTGTCTTGCAGAAGCATGGCTGACTTCAGAGGCTTGGTTATTGAAGCATAGCAGTTACTGTTTGTTTGGGACAGGTTTAAACTAGTTCTGTGGTTCCTTGCTTGTGGGTTAAAACAAGAGCCAAACAACAGGCACTCTTTCCCTTTCTTGAGTTTGGAGAATAGGAACTTTTTATTCTCAATCTCTACTATTTCTGACAGCTACATCATAATTTAAAATCTTTATTCAGTACTTCAGACAAGAGTTATGGAAGTTTATAAGCAAGGGAGTGACATGATGAGATCATTTGCAGACTTGTAAAAGATACAGAGGACAGGGAAGATTCCAGAAGATGGGTTCAAAATTTTTTGAAAATGACAGATTTTGGGATGTTCTGAGGAATAGAATTATTGAGAGGAAAAGGAAGCAGACTTTATGGCTTATAAACATCTTCCTAATCATATCTTCCTATTCATAAGTTATATTTGATGTATCATCAAAATGCAGCTGTGCCATTTGCCATCATCCGCAGGCCCTGATTCCTGTTCTTAGGTTCCTTCCCTCTCTATATCCCTCCTTCTCTCTCCCCTCCTTCTCTGCAAATAAAATACTAACATCAATGCCCAGGAAGAATTGCTAGTGAATATCAAGATTGTTGTAATTAATAAGTCAGCAATAATGTTGATTTGAGGGGAAAAAAATGCCTCAATTTCTGACCATTTTCTTGGTTTTCTTAGATAATTAAGTTGAAAGCTGAAGCCCGGCTGGAGCTGCTAAAGCAGATTGGTGTTTCTGTGGACACATGGCTGAAGAGTGCAATGAACCAAGTAATGGAGGAACTGGAAAATGAGCGATGGGCCCGCCTTCCTGCAGTGACCAATAATGGCACTGTGCACTCGGTATGGTTTCTCTTTTGGATATGATAGGCATTTTCATTGAAGAATGCTATTCTTTGACTATGTAGCCAAACCTTATAATAGCCGAATTTAAAAGAAAAAAATAATAGTTTTGCTAGTATTTTAGGTTTTTTTCTTTAGCCTATCACTAGTTGAATTAAACTTAGTGCAGGAAAGAAAGAGAGAAGGAAAACATGCTTTTCAAAAAAATGTGCTGTGAAAGATATATTATCACTACTGGGTGGTTTATCAGTGCATATTTACCAAACTCATCCCTTTCATGAAGTAGATATGCTTCTTGTCTAAAAGTAGTATGATAAAAATTTTAACATAGTGTTTCTGAGGTTCTCAGAGGTCTTCTCTAGTGTAAATGAAAATAAACAAACAGAGGATTGTAAACAGTCTTAAAGAGGGAAAGGAACACTCTTAGTCTGTGGTGTAGCCTGTTTGCCTCACAAGAGCATTCACACTCTGTTGTCAGTATGTTGCATTGGAGAGATGGTGCAGGTATGATTTTACAAACAAGGCCAGAACTCAGGCTGACCTTTTCTTACTTGAAGTCCACTCTGGTGTCACCCTGTTCAACCTTAGTTTGTCATGTTGGAGATCTGAGTACCAGAAAAGTTCAGTGATTTGCCTGATAGTATGTAGGTGGCTATACCTAGCTAGTTAGACTAAAGTAAATCTTACTGCTACCTCCCCATCCAGATCTCTCTCTCTCATCCTGTTTTTTTCCTTATGGCATTTATTACAGACAATGCTTGTCTTCTTTGTTTTCTTTTGTTTACTGTCTGTCTTTCTCTCTTGAATATAACTTCCATGTTTGCCTGGTTCATTGATCTGCACACCACCAAGAGCCTAGTGCATAGTATATACTCAGTAAATATATGTTGAAGAAAGAAGTGGGTAAATGAATGGACAGATCGATGGAACAGTGGCAAGCTAAAAGCTAAAACTCTAATCTCCCAACTTGCCACTATATGGTAGTACCTCTTCAGTGCTTATGCCCTTCAGATAAAAGGCATCATTGCTAGAGAAACTGGGCAAAGTTTAAGAACATTCCTGGAAGTTTTGTCAGTTTTTTCACAAAGCATTCTGATTTTCTAATGAGAATACACTTGTATATTTAAAAAATATTGTGTGGGGGTGTGTATTTTAAGGAAGAACAATCTATTGAAGGTTTATTTTTGTTTCACTATTAATAGTCATTCAGCTAGGGAAAATAAGCACACATCACCCACTTAACTTTGGGGTTAGAAGAGCTTACACTATTTACAACACAACAGAGTTGGTCCATGTCATGGAATATCTGTTCCTATAGCATCTTTTAAAGGTCACAATTCCCATCTACATCAGGCTATTCTGTTGTACATAACTTAATCATGAAAGCAAATCTGGGGGATTCTGGAAAAAAGATGGCAATGTAAGAAGCAGGGCAGAAACCTCCCAAAATCACATAAAACATGAAAATACAGTGAATATAACTAATCCTGAAAATGACCTAAAGACTTTAGAACAGACTGACTACATCTGGGAAGAAGAGAATACCCCACAGAAAAGGGTAAAGTGGCAAAACCACAATCCAGGGGGGACACAAACCCTCCCCTCACCCTAGCCCGCAGGTGGGAGGAAGAGGAGCAGTGGGGAGGGAGTAGAGGCACAGGACTGCTGAACACCTGGCGCTAGAGATCTGCTCCAGGAACACAAACCCACATTACATAGTGCATGGGGCTGGAAAGCAAAGATGGGCAGAACACTCAGAGAGACTGAGATTCCAGCCACTTGTGGAGAACAAATACACACCTCCGGCCCCCCTGAGACAAAAGAAAACTAGGCAGTTTGAAGGATTTCCCAGCAGCAAGAGGACCAAGATTACACACAGCTCTTGGCTCAGGAGAAAGGGCAGGTGGACAACACATTCCCAACCAACTCACCCCAGCAAGTCAGGAGCTTCAGATGCTCCATCTCCCGGGCTGGCAATGCAGCCCCAAGGTTCCCTCCTGTGCACAGCCTGCCACTCCTTCCTCCTGGCAGGCACCAATCCTGCTCACCTGCTGCCCCCACCATCACAGCAGGCTAGCCAGAGGGTGGTTGTACCCACAGCAGCTCCAGAGGCACAGCACTGAGGCTCCTCCCTGCACACATGGACCACTTGACCTGGCAGTAAAGGCAGGCATTACACCTGGGAAGGAAGGAAACCCTCCCAGCTGAGCTCTTTCTTCACAGCAGGCACCAGTCCTGCTCGCCTGTGGCCCCTGCCATTGCAGCAGGCCAAAGTGAGGGCAGCTGTGCCCATGGTAGCTCCAGAGGCACAACCCCACATATTCTCCTGGCTTGCGCAATCAGCTGACAGCCCACACAGCCCACCTGAAAACAGATCACTACAAGTAGGCAGAAAGATGCCACACCTACTGTATGCAAATACCTGGGGCTCCCATACAGGTAATCGAGCTGCTGGGTACTAGATGGCACCTCCTACACAAAGCTATTATTTCATAGGAAACACTAAAAAAAAATAAAGGGGCAGAGGAATTTGGTCCAAACAAAACTACAAAAAAATAAATCACCAGAATGAGGGCTTAGTGAAACTGAAATCACCAATCTTCTTCATAAAGATTTCAAAATAAAAGTCATAAACATTTTCACAGATTTACACAAAAGTATTCAAGATCTCAGGAGGGACTTCAATAAAGAGATAGAAATACTGAAAAAAAGCCGCTCAGCTAAAGAATACAGTATCTGAAATGAAACATACACTGGAGGGATTTAAAAGTAGATTAGATGATGTAGAGGAGACAGTAAATGAAATAGAAATTAGAGAGCAGGAAGATAACATGATATTGTACATAAAAAACCCTAAAGAATCCACTCCAAAAACGACTAGAACAAATATCGGAATTCAGCAAAGTTGCAGGATACAAAATTAACACACAGAAATCTGTTGCTTTCCTATGCATTAACGATGAACTAGCAGAAAGAAACATCACGAAAATAATTCCATTCACAATTGCATCAAAAAGAATAAAATACCTAGAAAGAAACCTAACCAAGGAAGTGAAAGACCTATACCCTGAAAACTACAAGACACTCTTAAGAGAAATTACAGAGGACACTAACAAATAGAAATTCATCCCATGCTCTTGGCTAGGAAGAATTAATATTGTTAAAATGGCCATCCTGCCTAAGGCAATCTACAGATTCAATGCAATCCATCAAAATACCAACAGCATTCTTTAACAAACTGGAACAAATAGTTCTAAAATTCATATGGAACCACAAAAGACCCCAAATAGCCAAAGCACTCCTGAGAAGGAAGAATGAAGCAGGGGGGATCTTGCTTCCCAACTTCAAGCTCTACTGCAAAGCCACAGTAATCAAGACAATTTGGTACTAGCACAAGAACAGACCCATAGACCAGTGGAACAGACTAGAGAGCCCAGATATTAACCCAAGTATATATGGTCAATTAATATATGATAAAGGAGCCATGGATATACAATGGGGAAATGACAGCCTCTTCAACAATGGATGTTGGCAAAACTGGAAAGCAATGTGTAAGAGAATGAAACTGGATTGTTGTCTAACTCCATACACAAAAGTAAACTTAAAATGGATCAAAGACCTGAATGTAAGTTATGAAACCATAAAACTCTTAGAAGAAAACATAGGCAAAATACTCCTGAATATAAACATGAGCAATTTCTTCATGAACATATCTCCACTGGCAAGGGAAACAAAAGCAAAAATGAACAAATGGGACTATATCAAACTAAAAAGTCTCTGTACAGTAAAGGATACTATCAGTAGAACAAAAAGGCATCCTACAGTATGGGAGGGTATATTCATAAATGACATATCCGATAAGGGGTTGACATCCAAAATATATAAGGAGCTCATGCACCTCAACAAACAAAAAGCAAATAATCCAATTAAAAAATGGGCAGAGGGTCTGAACACTTTTCCAAAGAAGAAATTCAGATGGCCAGCAGGCACATGAAAAGATGCCCCACATCACTAATCTTCAGAGAAATGCAAATTAAAACCACAATGAGATATCACCTCATACCAGTTAGGATGGCCAACATCCAAAAGACTAGGAACAACAAATGCTGGTGAGGATGCGGAGAAAGGGGAACCCTCCTACACTGCTGGTGGGAATGTAAACTAGTTCAACCATGGTGGAAAACAATATGGAGGTTCCTCAAAAAACTTAAAATAGAAATACCATTTGACCCAGGAATTCCACTCCTAGGAATTTACCCAAAGAAAGCAAGCTCTCAGATTCAGAAGGACACATGCAACCTTATGTTTATTGCCGCACTTATTTACAATAGCCAAGATATGGAAGCAACTTACATGTCCATCAGTAGATGAATGGATAAAGAAGAGGTGGTACATATACACAATGGAATACTATTCAGCCATAAGAAAGAAACAAATCCTACTATTTGCAACAACATGGATGGAGCTAGACAATATTATGCTCAGTGAAATAAGTCAGGCAGAGAAAGACAAATACCAAATGATTTCCCTCATTTATGGAGTATAACAACAAAGCAAAACTGAAGGAATAAAATAGCAGCAGACTCACAAATTCCACAAAGGGACTAGCAGTTATCAAAGGAGGGAGTGAGGGAGGGAGAAGGGGATTGAGGAGTATCATGATTAGTGCATATGGTGTGTGTGAGGTCACAGAGAAGACATTGTAGCACAGAGAAGACAAATAGGGACGCTGTGGCATCTTACTACACTGATGGACAGTGACTGCAATAGGGTATGGAGGGGACTTGAGAATAAGGGTGAACATAGAAACCACATTGATTTTCTTGTGAAACCTTCATAAGATTGCATATCAATTATAACTTAGTAAAAAATAAATAAATAAAATAGAAACAGTAAAAAAAACAAATACCCACAGCATCCTTCAATGAGCTAGAACAAATAGTTGTAAAATTCATATGGAACCACAAAAGACCCCAGATAGCCAAAACAATCCTGAAAAA